GGGTTTAGGGGGTAGGGTTTAAGGGTTTAGGGTTTAGGGTTTAGGGTTTGGGATTTAGGGCTTAGGGCTTAGGGTTTAGGGTTCAAGCACTGAGCCTCTAAACCCTTCCCTAAACCCCGCTGGGGCAAGAAGCGAAATCCACGCTTGCTGCTGGCTTTGTGGGTGGGGACCCTAAACCCTAAACCCTAAACCCTAAACCGACGTGGCCTGAAAGAGAAAGGGCATCTTCCTCCTTCCTTAGGCCGAGACTAGCGGCTGAAGCTTTAGGGCTTAGGGTCTATTCTTTCGGGCTTAAGATTTGGGGTTTAGGGTTTAGGGTTTAGGGCTTAAGGTTTAGGGTTTAGGGCTTAGGGTTTAAGGTTTCTGGTCTAGGGTTTAGGGCTTAAGGCTTAGGGTTTAGGGCTTAGGGAGGTTTCGGCTTCATGAGATCGATATCCTAAATCTTGCTTACGTCCCCCCTCCCAAGCTGCCTCCTCTTCACAGGAACTGCGCCACGGCTGCAGCGATGTCTACAAGGATTACCAGGGTTTAGGGTTTAGGGTTTAGGGGCCTCGTACGGTGTTAAGAATGATATCACGCGTTGGTTGTCAGGCTTCTTTACGGGCTGATTCAAATCGAAAGCTCCCGTTTCGGTGTTGAATATGGGTTCTGTATTATGTAATTTACGAGCTACAATAAAGGATAGCAAAGACTCCAAAACAGGGACAGAGCAGTTTCTGCATGAGTCATTATACAGTCAGAACGGTCAGAATCAAGGTTCCTATCAAAAGCATCGACAGTAACTCGTGGGCTCTAGCGCAAGGCTGAGGGTTTAGATCTGGTGTACTTCCCCGAACAGTGTGGTAACACACGATGAGCGCTGACATTCAAGGGTTAAGACGACTCAGCAAATGAGACCCTAAACCCTAAACCCTAAACCCTAAACCCCAAACCCTTACTGTAACCCTAAACCGCGTGGCACTTTCGAGTAAAATCGCGTTCTTTCCAGAGTCCTCCTCGGACCCCAACCTCCGCGAACAGCGAGCTAATGTAGGCTGAAAAATTACCAATACTATTTTGGGGTGTTCCTTAACATAAACATAATATAATGGGCCCCAAAACCCTAGTCCAATTATTAAGGCCTCTATATTAGATCTGTAAATTCCCTCTTCGCGCTGCCAACTTGACGTATCGTGATCCTGCCAGTGCCACGTGCATGTTGCAGGTTGAGGTTTCTTGGGAGGAAGCCGTGCTCCCGCCACAGCAAAGCGCTCGTCTTTATCTCCAAATCGCGCGAAGTCACTGCAGTCCTAGCAGTGCCACACAAATGTTGGACCTTTAACTAGAACCCGACACCCGAAACCCTAAACCCTAAACCCTCAACCCTAAACCCCACCAGAGGCCAGACTCCTGAGTTAATTGCTGCGTGCACGTGTTTTTCTCGCCTTTCTCGCCAAAGACGAGTGCCTGGCCGCCTCCCGAAATCGTGCTCTCGACAGATCTCCGCGCATAGTTTCGGGTTTAGGGGTTCAGGGTTTAGGGTTCAGGGTTTAGGGACTCGTCTTGCTGCCGCCACGCAGGGTGGTCTTGGGACATGTGCATGTCGCTGTTCCAATAACTAGGGCTTAGGGCTTCTATCCCCTTCTTCGCTCGTGAAATCCAGCGTAAGATTACTGTCATTGCTATTGCTTTCGTAGTCATCGCTTCTGGCAGAAACGAGCAGCCGGGCCAAATATATTTCTATGACTGGTTCTTGAGAGGTGCGCAGGAGCGCCTGCTCTACAAAGCATGCACTTGAAAAGCACAACTTCCCTTCAGGGATGTGCAGATATCCTTGCAAGCACCGAAAACTCCACCAGTTATGCCGATATGACCCCATCACGCATAAAATATCATGTTTCGATTGAGTGTCCGGGCTCTCACTGTCGGACCGGCCCCAACGTATCTGTAAAGCAGCCATGCCAAAGGCAGCACAGTCGCGGTGAGCAGAATCGTGCTGGGTAGATGTCCATGTCCATCATACTCCAGAAACGGGTGGTAAAACAACAGTTGCTCCAGAAGCAGATGCAGAGAGAAGAAAAAACCGGTAGCGAAGACCGGCAGCGAGTTGAGCACATGGTCACAAATCGACCATCGGCACTTCCGTTGCAAGCAACATGCGAGTCGACATTGGACGAGAAACGCCACAGGGCAGACTCCCAACCACAAGCCTAAGCCCCGTATGACCTCCCTCGATGCCACAACTTCTGGCGATGCCACACTCCATGGATCCAGATCAGCAGCGAAGCGAGCCCACACGGACGCTCTGTCAAGGGAGCTCCAGAATATTGGGACAAGAGCAATGGCGACCTGTCCGTATGTGAAGGGTTGCCTGGCCTGCTCGTAGACAAAAGTCTCCAAGAGCTCCGTCCGCACTCGCTTTTCAAACTCCTCAACGCTGCCGAACCATGTGCGGATGCACTTGAGCACAATCTCTCGGTCACAGAGCCCACGGTTCTGATTGTGGCCATCACTGCAGCAGAAGCAATTGACGTCTGCAAGACTCCAGCGTGCCAGTCGACCCATGGAATCATTCACAGAGCGAAAGTAAAGCCTGAAACCGGCAGAGTTGATGTAGAGAACGCCGAAGACGACAAGCAGATAAAGAGTCCACACCGCCCATTCGCTGTCGCCTGAGACGTGTATACTGATATTGCCGAGAACTGTGAGAAGGAGATTCAGCGTCAGTGTCTGCACGAGGTAGCACGGGCCTAGCTTGGTGGGCCGCAAGACGATTCTAGGCCTCTCGCCCTCTCCACGGCTCTTCAAGAAGCCAGCAATCTCAAACATGGTCCACAAGCGCTCGCTGTAGGTGGCATCCCACAAGACCAGCATTGACTGTGATGACTTGAGGAAAGCACCCATGCTCAGCAATCCCTGACCTTTGCTGCGTGTATTCAGTTGATCGATGCAGATCACATCTAGGAAGATCGACCCGCTCGGTCTCCAGAATACCAGCACCGACAAGTACAGGATCATGCCGACCAGGGCAGCCCAGAAGGATTGCCACTTGTCCTGCGACAAATGCTTGGTGAAGTCGTCGGCTCCACTCAGGACAGGCAAGACCCCGAAGGCAAAAAGGACAGATGCAAAGGCGGACCCGATGCATGCGATGGCAGTCGCAGTTTGACCGTTGTAGAAGAGCAGCAGAGTTATCCATTTTCTCCAAGCCGAACCATGCCAACTGTGACTCCAAAACATGTTGATCTTCTGGGTCTGGTAGCTCCTGTGATGCAATGTCTTCGACCCTCGAAGCGCAGAACCAAATCCTGCGAGGGCGCCCTAAACCCTAAACCCTAAACCCTAAAACCCTAAACCCTAAACCCTAAACTCTAAACCCTAAACCAAATCCTGCAAGGGCGTCGCAGGCTCTGGTAGCCCGGAGCACGGTTGCTGAGACCGGCTGCATACCTGGGCGTTGAAGTTAAGGTTTTTTTTTTTTTTATGGGCCCTTTTCCAACTGCAGAACAGTCTGAAGTTAAGGTTTAGGGTTCAGGGTTTAGGGTCCAGGGGTTTAGGGTTTAGGGTTTCGGTTTGGGGGTTTAGGGTTAGGGGTTTAGGGTTTAGGGGTTTAGGGTTTAGGGGAAGAAAAAGTATAAACTTTATGTCATATTGGTCCCTTTAAGGGACAGGTCTGCCAAAAAAAGTATGTAAGTATGGTTTAGGGTTCAGGGTTCAGGGTCCCAAAAAAAAACAATTAAGTATGGTACTCCAAAGCCCAGTTTTCCTTTACGTCTGGTACTCCAAAGCTCAGCTTTTCTTTACGTCTGGTACTCCAAAGCCCAGGTCTTTTTTTTACTCCAAAGCCCAGATGCTATGTAGGTAGGTATGGTTTAGGGTTTAGGGTCTAGGGCCCCAATAAAAGTAGTCAAGTATTTTTTCCAAAGCCCAGATGCACCCTAAACCCGCAGCCCAAAGCCCTAAGCCCTAAGCCCTAAACCCTAAACCCTAAACCCTAAACCCAAACTCCAAAGCCCAGTTTGTTCCTAAACCCTCAACCCTAAACCCTAAACCCTAAACCCTAAACCCTAAACCCTAAAACCTAAACCCAAACTCCAAAGCCCAGTTTGTTCCTTAACCCTAAACCCTAAACCCTAAACCCAAAGCCCTAAACCCTAAACCCTAAACCCTAAACCCTAAACCCAAACTCCAAAGCCCAGTTTGTTCCTAAACCCTCAACCCTAAAC